TTGTATATAAAGATATGTATATATATATATATATATATATATATATATATAGGCCTATTAATTGTAATAATTCATATATTAATAGTGTTTATGTATATTTTCAAGGAAGCACTGGGCCACATTCATTATTCTCGTATTGGGTTTTTTTCTTTTCTCATATCTATTTTTCTCAGATTTATAAAAATTCATAGAACACGTGTGCAATTATTGATGTAACATTTTACCTTGAATTTATGTTGAAAATATGGTTACTATAAAAAAAATCTTGTTTTTAATTATTGTTATGCTTAATGGTTATTTTATTATTATTTATTAAATCCATAGGAGGCCCAGCAGTTAATCCTATAGGTAATATTTTATTATCATTATATAATATTATTATTCATCATCACCATTATCATAATTATTATTTGAATTATCAATATTAATATCAATATATGTAAGATTCATATTGTTAGTATATATTACTGTTAATATGTTGGTATTATTATTATGATTATCATCATCATCATTAAAATCTGTTTAAAAATACAATCATGTTAATTAATAGACTTAGTAAACACAAACAATATTTAACTGCAAATTAATTGAAATTTACTAAACAGATCAATTTTAATTTTCTGTAACCAAAATAGTTATTAAAATAAAATAATGTAATTTACAAAACATTTTACTGAGTTTTCTACCAGCATTTTTATGAATTGCTTTAATAATGTACGTCTTGTGTTCTTTAGACCCATGTACTTCCAATCCCTGTGTGAATGGGATCTGTAGAAAGTCAAGCTCTTCTTATTCATGCATCTGTAATCGATGCTACTCAGGAAGCAGATGTCAATGTAAGTACCGTAGTCGAGAACAGGCCAGAAAATTATCAATTTAGATATTAATAAGAATTGATGAAGCCAAATCAAGTGTATAGATAATACCAGTAAAATTACATTGTTCCCTGATAATACTAATGAGGAAACGAATTATCACACTTAACTTAATAGGGGAATGAGTAGATAAGTTACGGTACCACATATTCTATGTAGTTAGATGCGTTTCTGCTTAGAGCTAAAGTTTTCCCCATAAACGTACTATGTTTGTTAAAATGGAAACATCCTGAGCTCTAGGTAAATGCGATTGACTTGAGGAAGCACGTAACCTTATTTATATTTAAAAGCAAAAGCGGACACTGATCGCTTGTGATGTGATATACTAATGTGACCGACGTGTAAATATGAGAGCAGTTAATACTAAAAAAGTACATTTTAATTTGTAAAATTAAACCCCACCTTTTTGCTCTTCCAAGAAATCAATTTATAAAATTAATAAATAGGCCTATTATTTTGTTTCGTCGAGAGTCACCGCGGCAAGGAATAGCACCCTAGATGGCTGTTTTATTCTTTTAAATTTATTATTGATTTTTTCCTGTACAACGTATTTTGATCTCCACAGACTATGATTCTAAACGCTGCTTAATCGAGCCCTTTGACCCCTTCGAGCCACTGAAGTAGATGGTCGTCTAAAGTAGCAGCTTCAGTCTTGCACATCAATCTTGCACGACAATCTCCTTTTCTATCTGTGCAGATCATCGCGCACTTGGGTCTTGATAAGCAGGGCCACCAATATAAACATTTTTCTTAGTAGTACTAATAACTAGTGACTGATTAAGATGCATTTTATTTTTTTAATTATTATTTTTTTGTACAGGTCTCCTTCTAATGAAAGACCCCTCCAATTGAAGACCACCTCCAATTAAAGACCACTTTTCCGTGGTCCCAAATTAACAAGTCTTTTATTTTTATTATTCTAATTAAAGACCAAAGCTGCTAAAGACCATAAAAACCCTGTCCCAAGAGTGGTCTGTAATTGGAGTCTGTAATTGAAATATTGTGAATGTAATAATGTAATAATACGGTAACTTTTTAACAAGTCAGATTTAAAGCTAAATTGACTTAAATAAATCAGCTAATATTAAATTGATCATTACATTAAGTGGTTCTTATAAAAAAAATTGTGTGTTGAGTTTTTAGATTGTCTTTCTGATGGGGCATGAATACAAATGCAGTGCCTATAATTACAACAGTTTCAAACAAATTCCTAATTCATTGGATGTTATTGTCCTAATCAAATCCATTAATTCAGTAGCATCCAGTCACACTGTTATTGAGTACAGTTTTATTTCCAAATACCAGTAAAATACTGTATGAAACAACATTTTATCTACTGTATTTTATATATTTTTAAAAATCTTTGTTTATCTCGTTGCTTATAGTTTTGTATTGTTTTGAAATTGGAATAAATTCGTATTGAGATTTATTGTATTTTAAGTCTCTTCTTGTATGTTTCTTTTGTAAATTGTACGTGCTCCCCATCATTGCGATGTGTACTACTGATTTAAAAGCGTATATTCAATAAAGTTCAGTTCCGTTCAGTAATGTAATTAACAATTTGTATAAGACTGGTGTAACAAAAAAAAAACAGTGCCATTAAAAAATAATAAAATTATATATACCTGAATTTTAACACAAGAATAGCATTAATGAATTTGAACTAGACCCAATGAGAAGTGACCGTAAAATCATAATAGATTGAGGGCGCTATAACTTGTCACCAGGGGCCAGATTTATCAAACTAGACATCAGGTTAAAGTTTTTTATTTATTTATTTTATTTTATTTTTTTTCATTTTTTTGCTTAAGTCAAATTTATCCATATAGCTTACTTAAAAATTGCTTAAAATTAGAAAGTCGATTATACGTTGGTGCCATCTAAGACGATTTTTGAGTCAATAATTTGCTAAGATTGGGTAATAAAACAGCTTAAGATATTTATTAGGGACATCTTAACTTTTTTGACTTAAGACATTTGCTAAGCTGAGATTGATAAATTCCGGGCCAGAAGCATACCATAGATTCTAATGCTACTTATTTACAAAACTAACATGCTGTTTTAAGTTTACTAAAATTTATGTTACGATTTATTATTTTCAGTAGAAATTGTGTCTAAGATATTATAAAATTAATATCAACTAACATTTATTAATAAACAAATAACCATTCCATAACGTGATTCTATAAAAATGTTAAAATGTGGTCACATATCCAGAGAATAGTCACACTCTTATTTCTAATTTTAAGAACTACAGGATAACCTATAACCTATTTAATAGCATTATTCAGATTTTTACTTGTCTGACCTAATCTATGATAGGCCTATTTGTTAATAAACAATCAAATTGAAACAATAATGCACAAAGCAATGTTACAAAATAAAATTTCAATTAAATTAACGTTAATATATTAGCCTATTGTATTATTTCGTACCGTATCTATTAAGATTTAAGCATATATATAATAGGCCTATATGTTTTACTTAGGCCTATATATACATATTTATTATCGATAATTTCATCTTATATAAATCAAGGCCCATGACGAGTGGAGCTGTTATAAAATATAACTATTATTTTTACTGACGTAATAGGGATCTCAGTCAATATTATTAATCTTAATATTAAGTTTACTTAATGATCGGACAAATCAGGGAGACCTTGGTGTACATTGGTAGTTGAAAGATGGAGGAAGATGTATCAGAATGGATATTTACGGAGTGTCAATCATACTTGAGCTGACCAACAAGAACATGGTCAGGAATAAATCCCACAAACACATGCGAAAAAGCGAAAGGTTTAAGCATGGACCTATTAATAGTTTAAACGACGTTTTGTGGAACTTTGGCTAACATATCAAAGGGGGGCTTTGGGGAATCGTCCATTAAACAAGAAATATATTATACTGTATGTATATTCTATAAACTGAATACACTGTATACACAGGCTGCAATAGTGATTATATTGGTAAGACAGATAGATGCTTAATAACTAGACTTAAAGAACATTCTTCACGATCTGATAGTGTTATATTTGATCATGTTAAAAACTGTGAGGCATTCCAATATGTTTTAGGATTACAGGGTATACTTGAAAATGATAATGTCGTCTGTAATGTAAGTAATAAATTAGGTTTAATATTTTCTAGTGCTCCCGAAACTGGTCTATCCTATTGTTTAAAGAAGCGTTCGCTATACCATAGAGAAAATAGAAGAGTTCTATTTTCTCTATGGCTATACGTAAACTACACCCTTTGCTTAAAAATGGGCTCAGAGCTTCAAAAGAGCTTTCTTTGTTTTTGTAGGTATCTTTGATTATTAGAGTAAGAATGCTTTGATCTTTTGTTTAAATCACTGCTATGTCACCTACTAGAGGTAATGTTTTGATTGGTTAAACACTTTTGGTACTGCGCTTATAAGCTTGCTAATATGGATAATTTTTTCATTCCTGATGATGACATAATTAATGTCGAAATATTGAATCCCAACACGATGGCGTGTATTTCAATACTTGGAGTATGTATTATACTTTCTTATCTGAATACACTGTGTTTTCGTTTATTTTATCCACCTTCCTGTCGTAGCACACACTACCACGAATTCAAGAGTGGATTGGGATTGGATTTATTCGGTGTAAACACCAAGAATATCAAACGAACACCTTCTGGTGCTGATTGGGCAATACACCTGAGACAATTCCCTACTCTTTTCCGAATTGTGTACAGCATTCTTTAACGTGCACATGGGCCATAAATTAACACGGGACCAATGGCTTAAACCATGGAGGAAAGAAAATCTAATTTTCTTTCCTCCATGCTTAAACACACGGAGATTCAACCATAGCAATTAAACCGTGTACCCAGAGATCGGCTAACCACCAGGTTAGCCGACTGAGCTGTGCTGCTCTCTCGTTCGTTCATTCATTGAATGAATGAATGAATGAATGAATGAATGAATGAATGAATGAATGAATGAATGAATGAATGAATGAACGAAAGTACGAACGGGTTAACATTGTGTAATACATAAAATATAAATTGTTTGAGGCTGTAAAAAATCAGCTATTCATGACTGAATGGACTAGATGGTGTCCAGTAAAGTATAATCAAGTGTTTCAGCTACATCAGTCTGTTAGATGAAACGTCCTGTCAGAACTTATAGAAAAACAAATTATAGTACTAAAGCAAAGAAACAATAGAGTTTACTCCCAATTTTCCTTAAATTTTTAAATATTCAAAAATCTGTATCTTATTATCCGTTGTAAGTTTTTCGTCAATCACCCTTATTGAGCCCGTCTTTAACTAAAACATAGGAGCTGCGCCAAAACGTTCAGTATCGTCGGACGATGATGTGACAAATCCGCTTTCTGTCAAAATACTACACTAGTGTTTAGTGTTATGATCTGTAATCGTTTGTACCTATGGTAATTTTTTTTTATAAGAATACATTACATAGGCTTATGTCAAAATGACATAACAAAATGTTTCTGTAAGAATAAGAACGTTTTCTAGTCATAAAGAAAACATAACATTTAACTTGTTTTACTATTTAATATAGTTATTATAATATGTGAAAAATATACATAGCAACCATATACCATTATATTCTGTTTTTTAATATAAACAAAAAAATATATATACCGTATTATTGAAATCTATTAAGTATACAAAGATTGCATTTACAATAACATTTTAAAAATAATTTACAGGCCATTCTACATTAACAATTTTGAAGTACAATAGATCATTCACAATAAAGAGTACTGAATAATAGAGTGAATACTGTACTTTATTAATTTAAAATGGGAATAACTAATTATTATAGTGTATTTATGCATTTTTTGGTAAAAAAGTAAATGAAGACAAATCTGAACATAAATTGTAATACGTGCAGTAGTAATTGATTAGGTCTATGTACATATGTGTAACTTATTTATTTAATCATTTATGGTACAGTATATCTTAATGCATACAGTAGTAATTGAGTAGGCTATATATATATTAATGTGTAACTTATTTATTCAATCATTTATTGTATAATATCTAATCTGAAAGTACATATACCTATCTAAAAGTATAATACCTAATGTGTACCATAGTAATTGAGTAGGCTTATGTACATAACTATTAATGTGTAACTAACTTACTTAATCATTTGATACAGTATAATATTTAATACCCAGTAGTAATTGAGTAGACCTATGTACATATTAATGTGTAAATTATTTATTTAGTCATTTATGATACAGTATACTATTTAATAAAACTAATTATTATACTGTATTCATGCATTTTTGGTAAACAATAGACAAATCTGAACATAAAATGTAATACATGCTTTAGTAATTGATAAGGTCTATGTACATATGTGTAACTTATTTCTTTTAATCATTTATGGTACAGTATATCTAATGCATACAGTAGTAATTCAGTACACTTATGTACATATTAATGTGTACTGTAACTTTTTTATTTTAACATTTGTGATAGAGTATAATATTTAATACACAGTAGTAATTAGGTAGGCCTATGTGCATTTCAATATCTAACTTATTTAATCATTTATGGTACAGTATATTTAATACACAGTAGTAATTGAGTAGGCATATGCACATATTTATGTATAACTTATATATTTAATCATTTATGGTACAGTATATTTAATACACAGTAGTAATTGAGTAGGCATATGTACATATTTATGTGTAACTTATTTATTTAATCATTTATGGTACAGTATATCTAATGCATACAGTAGTAACTGAGTAGGCTATGTACATATTAATGTGTAACTTATATACTTAATCATTTATGATACAGTGTAATATTTAATACCTTCAGTACTAATTGAGTACCTTAGGCTTATTAACATATTAATGTGTAACTTATTTAATGGTACAGTATAATATTTAATATGTACATTAGTAATTGAGTAGGCCTATGTACCTATTCATGTACCACTTATTTATTTTATCATACAGTATAACATCTAGTACATAAAATAGTAACTGAGTAGGCATGTACTTATTTAAGTTTAAATAAATTATTTATTTTATAAAAAAAGAAAGCTGAAATGAGCTTGTACACAATTCTGAAACTTAAGTCAACTATTAAAAAATATTATAAAAACAAAAGCATATAAAATTTACAACTATGTTACTTACAATTGAATATTATAAAAACCAACTCAATATGTATTATTACATAAGCCCCAATGACCATTGGCAATAAAGCTGTCCCAATCCAGTTTGTCTCCAACCACCACAAAAAGGAGAAAGCAGTGAACACTATACAGTATTACGTCATTATATGGACTTTTGTTATAAAAAAAGATAAACTGACCACTGACAACAGGGTGCCATGGTGTAGTGTATTAATGTAAAAACTCTGACCATAATTAATCTAGAAATTTTTTAAAATATATAATAAAACGATGAACTATGCTGCTACACTGACTACCACTCTAGTCTCAGTATGCGAATTAATATATAGTGTATGATTACTGTACTAGTACAAATAAATTAAACCAAACAATAAAAAGCTTGTACTCTTTCGACTGACCACTGTACAAGATTTTATTCAGACTGACCGATGTACATAATAATCATATAACCAATACCACTTATGAACTGACCTATGTATAACATTACTCAGAATTTCTAGGCGCTATTACACAAATCATATCCGAGACATCATATCACCTTAGTTAAGATCTTCCAAAGTCTAATAGAATATTATCAAAGCCATACTATATCTATAAACAGTTATACTGTGCTACATTTATACAGCGGATTCATAACATAGATTAGATCTAGCATATTTACTAACACCCAACCCTCATTCCTAACATACACACTCATTCACTCACATAATGTATTAGATATTGTTTATAACAGTCGATAGAGAGCGAATAGTAAAAAAAAAAAAATTGTAATGTGCAATGTATATTAGAAATATCAGAGGACCAATAATTCTATGAGGGCTCAGATTAGGCAACAATCTGAAGACTGCAATCTCCTAAAATCCAAACAGTACTATTTTAATAAATAAAATCACTGGATCTGTGCCTAATCAGTTGAGGTACAATGAATAAAAATACAAATGAAGACCCATAAATGTTACTATTTGATATTAGGCTTCATTAACTCGAATGTAATTTGACTCCTCTCTTAGAACACTCTCTAATCATATTATTTATAATAACACATTATAGACTGCAATCACTCATTAAAACAAAATTCAGTTTAGGAGAAATGAGTAATGATGTAATGAAGACCAATCAATATCACTGAGGTTATTACCATCGATATCAAGTCACTCCAATTTCAACTTGACTCCTCTCTTAGAGCACTCTCTAATTATATCATTCACAATAACACTTGATAAACTGCAATTATTCATGCAAAGTCTGTTCAGATTAGGTGTAATGAACAAAGATGCAAAAGAAGGCCAATCAACGTCACTTAGATTATTACCTCCAATGTTAAGCTCCTTTAATTCTAACTTGACTCTCCTCCTAAAACACTCTCTAATCATATCGTTCATAATTACACATGACAGACTACAGTTATTCAAGTCCAGTTTATTCAGTTTAGATGTAATAAATAAGGATGAAAATGAAGAACCATTTATGTCACGGAGATCATTACCTCTGATATAAAGCTCCTTTAATTCTAACTTGACTCCTCTACTAAAACACTCTCTAATCATATCATTTACAATAACACCTGATAGACTGCAATTATTTATGCCAAGTCTATTCAGTTTAGGTGAAATGAACAAAGATGCAAATGAAGACCCATCAACATCACTTAGATTATTACCACTGACACTAAGCCATGCTACTTCCAACTTGACTCCTCTACTAGAACATTCTTTAATCATATCATTTATAACAACACTTGATAGATTGCAATTATTCATGTCAAGTGTACTCAGTTTAGGTGTAATGGATAAGGATGCCAATAAAGAACCATCAATGTCACTGAGATTATTATCTCTGATATAAAGCTCCTTTAATTCTAACTTGACTCCTCTACTAAAACACTCTCTAATCATATCACTTACAATAACACCTGATAGACTGCAATTATTCATGCCAAGTCTATTCAGTTTAGGTGAAATGAACAAAGATGCAAATGAAGACCCATCAACATCACTTAGATTATTACCACTGACACTAAGCCATGCTACTTCCAACTTGACTCCTCTACTAGAACACTCTCTAATCATATCGTTCATAATTACACATGGTAGATTACAGTTTTTCAAGTCCAGTTCATTCAGTTTAGATGTAATAAATAAGGATGAAAATGAAGAACCATTTATGTCACGGAGATCATTACCTCTGATATAAAGACAGTCTAATTCCAACTTGACTCCTCTACAAGAACATTCTTTAATCATATCATTTATAACAACACTTGATAGATTGCAATTATTCATGTCAAGTGTACTCAGTTTAGGTGTAATGGATAAGGATGCCAATAAAGAACCATCAATGTCACTGAGATTATTATCTCTGATATAAAGCTCCTTTAATTCTAACTTGACTTCTCTACTAAAACACTCTCTAATCATACCATTTATAATAACACCTGATAGACTGCAATTATTCATGCCAAGTCTATTCAGTTTAGGTGAAATTAACAAAGATGCAAATGAAGACCCATCAACATCACTTAGATTATTACCACTGACACTAAGCCACGCTAATTCCAACTTGACTTCTCTGCTAGAACACTCTCTAATCATATCGTTCATAATTACACATGATAGACTACAGTTATTCAAGTCCAGTCTATTCAGTTTAGATGTTATAAATAACGATGAAAATGAAGAACCATTTATGTCACGGAGATCATTACCTCTGATATAAAGACAGTCTAATTCCAACTTGACTCCTCTACTAGAACATTCTTCAATCATATTATTCACAATAACACTTGATAGACTACAATTATTCATGCCAAGTATATTTAGTTTAGGTGAAATGAATAAGGATGCAAATGAAGAACCATCAATGTCGCTTAGATCATTACCACTGACAAACAGCTGCTGTAATTCCAACTTTACTCCTCTATTTAAGCACTCTCTGATCACATTATTCATAACAGCACCTGTAATACAATTTGCACAGTCAAAGATTTTAAGTTGTGGTGCATTACTAAACAGGTGAACTACAAATGAAGCTGTACTCAAAGATGATAATCTACATTCTGTTACATCATATTTGAAAAACAGTCTCTGACATTCATCTGTCAGGTAGTTAATATCATTATCACATATTATACTACTTATTTTTTCCAAAATAATGTTTTGATCTGACACAGCAATTAATATGTGAGCAAGCATTCTGCCTTTTTCTTCAGATGACATTTCTTTCAAAAAATATTCAAATGCATTTATCATTTTCGATTCAGCCCAAGAAAAACATTGACAAATTCTTACAAGTCTTATGAAATGCTCTTTTTGACTGATCTCTAATTCAGGAATAATGTTATGGATAAATTGTCTTAGTGATTTACATATGTCATTAATATGTGGCTTTATTTTTAAATCTACTCTGGTCATGTGACCAATAACTGCTTTTTCTACAGTACCCATATGGTCTTCATTTACACATCTTAAATATTCCATTAAAGAACGATATGTTGAGATATCATTCGTTATCCAATGATTTAAAAATATGCCAGCATTACCACCTAGGAATCCAATTGCAAACACCTTTGTTACGTGCAAATGTTTACTTCTGCTTATCATCTTCCATTCATTATCAGTCAATGGCTCAAATAATGTTCCCATGCCATTTGAACACTTATTCTTCAACCCTTGTATCTGACATAGTTTGCATAAGTAAAATCCAACTAATGACTCTACTATCAACTTGTGTCGAGTTGTAAAAATCTCTTCAAAGTTAGATTTTAGTTTTGGTGTATCTTTGTACACAAAACCTAGTTTTAAAGCCAGAGCAACCAATTCTTTATCTTCTTTCATCTCTCTTCTGTTTATTGAAAGTTGGTTTTTCTTTAGGCCTTTATAGAAATACTTTCCTAATAGAGCCATTGCATTAACAAACCTCTCAGGAGTATCTTCAAATGCTGAGATTTTTTGCTCTTTAACTGTTTGTTTGTCAATAAACTGATTCAAGATGCATCTAAATACCTCTTTAAACAAATCAGTTTTATCAGCTGGAAGATATCGCCTTTCTTCCCACATGATGCTTACTGATAAAAGCAGCAATGGATTCTTATACATTGAATAGACCTCCTGATGTTTATCAAGCTGTAACTCATCAATTAGTGAGTCTCCTAACGAAGTAAAGAAATCAAAGTGTTTCCTAATGTATTTTTCTATATTTTCTGTACTGAATCCCTGCACTTTCACATGTAGGTTGCTTGCATTAATGAACTCATATATTTTTTCTGATCGTGATGTAAGTACCACTTTACATTCACACATTTCTTGGTTTTTAAAAATCTTTATTGGACTCTCACTACCATCTTTCAATTCATCTAATCCATCCAATAACAATACAATTTCATTACTGTGACTCCAAATAAATCGTTTAATTAATATAGGTTCTTTTATGAGACCTGTTTCAAGTTGAAATCCCTGTAGGTTTATCTTACTTAAAATAGCATCCAAAATAGTTTCACCTATGTCAATATCCTGGATATTGACAAGAAACACTATTTTACCTTTGAAGGTTTCGTCTGATTCATTTTTGGCCCAGTTGTATGCTATGTACCTTAGGAGGGTTGATTTACCGACACCGCTATCACCTTCTATTAGAGCTTTACATGCAGGTGTGGATTTGATATCATCTAAAACCTGCTTTAAAGTTGTTTGAGTGGCATCTTCCTTTTTTCTGTATTTACTTATCGTTAGTTGGTCAAGATCAGTGAACATATCGGCATCTTCCTTTTCTCTGTTTTTACTTATTTTTAGTAGGTCTAGATCAGTGAACATACAAGCAATATCTACATGGTATTCAGGATTAAAAATTGATGGTGTAAACTGGTTGGCATTGCTGCACACTTTCCGTTGGGTATTTAGTAGATATTTTCGAATAACCTCGTCTGTAAGAAAAGATTTTTGAATAAACTGTTACTCAAGAGTAGAATGGAGATCAACAATTGCAGTAATATTGTTTCATTTACTCTCTACATTTTCCCGTTTCTGAGGTTACACATGGTTTGTGAGTACAAATTATCTGATCAACCAAAAGCAATGATGATAAAAATTATAAATATGTACAGTATTGAAAAAAAAAAAACAACTAAATATAATGATATCACAATCACATATTCTATCAATAATTAAATAATATACAGGGGTCTCGAGTCTCCCGGAACTTCCGGGTGTAACAGTCTCTCGCACTCCCGCAAACATGCAAGTCTTCCGGAAAATCACTCATCTCCTGCAAATTAAGTAAAAAACAAATCTTTTTGTTTTAGGCCTAAACTTTGGTTGCCAATGAATTTTGGCAGTCTGACAGTGCCATTTCCGGGCTTCTAAAGGTGCCTATCATAAAAAATGTCATCACCTCAGCCCCAATCATGGTAGGCCTGAGGTGGGCATGGCCCTTTTTTTGATACCTACACCTTTTCCTCATAGAATATATAGTGCCCCAAATGTCATTAAACGAATCTCCCAGGAATGGGTTCTTCCATCTTAAAGCCCTGCATATATCTGTATCTGAAATACAGTAACTTTATATAGAAATATTATCATTTATATTTCTTATTGGGTAATTCCATGCCAAATCACCTAGCGGTCCCCAGGTAACCCTCTTTAATTTTGCTAAAAATTCACAAAAATACTGTAAATGCTCAAATATGTGCCACTCTCGAATAAACGCTGCACCAAACCTGATTGTTTTCACTAAGTACCACGAAAAAGTGCTGCCTCGCTTAAGCTAGAGTATATATTACCCAGGGCTAGATTTAGTACTAGTCCATCATACCATATGTAGTAGAAGCTCCTCTGGGACGGTAAACCTGTTATTACAAACCTGCTGGGCCAGTGATCAATTATAAACTCTTGCTTCAAGTATGCTTGGCCAAGAACATAATGTCAATGCTGTAATATTTAACCAATGATTGGGCTTTTAAAAATAGCCAATGGTCTAGTGAATTATACAGTAAAATAGCCCAGTGAGCTAGTCACCAAAGAAAGTTAAATTTAGCCCGACTACATTCTGTGAAATTGAACACTTTGAGAAACAGGCTTTTAAATACAATGTATACTAATGAATAAATAACACAATGAAGACACAAGAATTTCTTTAGAAATGTTTATTTTTGGATGACATAGAACCTATGATAGGCCTACTGAACTATGGGAATATGTGTGATAGACAACTTCGGAATTGGCATGGAAAGCGCCACACCAACATTTTTTATAAGCGCTGCTCTTGATTAAGTGCCGCTCTCGAATATGCACCCCATTGAAGCTTATTCCAGCATTTATTGTATTCCCTTTTATAAATAATAAAGACACAAATAATTTTAGACCAAAAGGCAGTCTTGAAATTATGGCCCTCTGAAATATGCCACGCTCATTTTTTTTTCACTGCTGCATTTTGCATAGATATTTGTTTTCATTTTAGTCTATATTTTTTTTATTGGAAATAGTTGATATTGGAAACAGTTCGAAGCTGAAAATTACTACTCTGTGTATTTTGAGGCCAGTCTTTCAGAGTCTGCAAAATACTGTATCTTGATTCACTGAAAAGTAGGTATCTCAAATTGTTGGTTCATTTCAAGCTGAAATGATTTTTCAATATTTCGGACTATAGCACCTATACTGTACCATGTATCTGAGATGTCCAATTTGCAGACACATTACCTCTAGTTAGTGCTGTATGCAATCAAGCAAGTACCAATCAACTAATCAATGAGGTATGGGTAGACCCCTAAAACACAGACC